CCCTTTCAATTGTTTAATATGTTGTGTTTTTTATGTGGGTTGTTTTAACTCCGCCATGGACACAAATTAGATCATTTAGGAGGCTGGCTTCGACGCTGCATGCGAGGGCTAACATTGGCTGACACTGAGAAGGATACATCGTCCCTGCATAAAGATGGGATACTCAATAGAAATTCTCTCCACACTGGAATCGACTGTAATCTCTACTCCACAGACACTGGTTTCCTCATTTGTAGGCCTTTAACTTAGTTTTATTCGTTTATAATGGTTTGGATGATTATGAGGGACATGGGAGGTGCTGATCGTTAATAGACATTGTATTTTCGTGGCGTTAAAATCTTCATAATATGGGTTAATTGCTTAATTGCTTTCTTCCCTCTAGGTCTTCATGCTGCGACAAACCACGCCCATATAATTGGGAGAATGACAGTTGCCCCACCCAGTACTGTCGGCCCGGCGGGAAAGCTGTACCTCCTTACGTCATCCCATACCCAAACCTGGGCCTCTACTTCCCACCCTGTGATGTGTTCCGTGTCAAATGTTGACCATGACCCGATATTTCGCCTTACATCTTGGCAAACTCTACGTTTATCAGTAATTAGTCTAACAAAGAACATCGGAGCATCTAAAAAAGAAGACAAACTGAAACCATAACTACAAATAACATGATCATCGCATCGTATGTACATGTATTTAATTGCAGTGACAAAGAAGAGGAGAATGGTACATGAATTCTAGCTTGCTACTTGACAGCATAAACCACATTAAGCTCAGCTGAGAAAACGAGTGGTTAAAGAGAAGAAAAATAACTTGGCTCTGTTTGCAGGCGTTTAAAAGGGCATAAAATATTAATAGAAATTTGAATAAAGTTGATGGAAATGAAAGTATAGCTCTTGTTGCTTAGTAATAGTCTGAGTAAAGGAAATTGAGGAAAAGTGGAGAGGGTAATAATAGCACACACACACACACACACACACACACACACACTCACATACACACGTACACACAGTTTGATTTTACATTATCACTGTCATTGCGTTCTCCATATTGCCATTTAAGTATACTCTTTCATCATCATCATCATCATCATCATCATCATCATCATCATCATCATCATCATCATCATCAGCATCGAGTAACGCTTTTTGTCACCTGCTTTCTAATAATTCTTTTAAGTAGGACAATTCCTTAGTTACTTCCCTTTATTCACAACCTGCATCGTTATGTGCGTCGTAGCTGAGTGGTGGGAGTACAGTTTTCGGTAAAAGTAAATTTCGACACCCCACCCCACCCCACCCCACCCCACCCCACCCCACCCCACCCCACCCCACCCCACTTCCCCCACCCCTCATCCTTTAATCAAATTAAAAGCGTCTATTACGAATGTCGTCCCGTTACTTTTGAAAATTTCCACCCCAAATAGTGGACAACTTTCAGGAAAACGCCACTTCCGGTGGTCTAGATCAGTGCCTGTCACAGAATTCTACACTAAGTGTAGAATTCTGTGGTGCCTGTCAACCTGTTTATACCCCGCCCCCAATTTTGCCACCTGTGAGAGGCTAACATTTTCGGACCACCCACCTATATTATAATTGCAGGGCATACAGGATACGCTATCTGTCACTATCCCGGTGATCCCCATTGCCCATTAAAAAAATATAATTGCCCACTAGTGAACGATGTCGTAAAGTTGGCAAGCACTGATCTAGACGGTCTCGATGATAGGCCTATTGCCTCTTACGTCTCTGTGTTCCACGAACAAGCGTTCCATCCGCCTGGCACTTAACGATATGGCCTGAAAAAGTTTGGACTAAAGGCACCAATGTCAGAAGTTCATATATCTTCGTTTAATGTCTTAGATTATCAAGGAAAGGGTATGTGCGATTAATTTCCTTGTCGAACCTCGCTAAACTACGGTATGTTACCTCAACAAACGTTTAGCTGGTCATATGGCATCTCGTGTTGGCGGTTGGCGGGTGCTCTGTTGTGGTTTGCTCTTTCTATCAAACACCTGTGGTCCTTTTAGACTCCTTCTCTTTTTGGGGGTTTGTATTACTCTCTTTTTGCACCTCTAATCTTCGTCACTTATATATGACTTAACTGTGTCGCAAGTGCCATAAAATGCTTACTAAAAGTGAACAGCAGAAAAAATATTGTATGCAGAGTAACAGAAAAAAAGTGGCTAGTCATCCCATGATGTCAACATTACCCCCTAACGCAAAATGAGTTGCAGTTCTGGGAAATTCGCCCCCCCCCCAAAAAAAAAGACTCATTTAAAGGGCAATAACTCGATTATCTTTAGACCAATATCAGCAAATCTGTAAAGACCTAAAATTCAGCCTCAAGTACGTTAGATTTGTGAATATGAAAGAAATCAAGCGAAATGTTCGAAGAATATCAAATTCTAAAAACATCAACCAAAATTGAGTGAAACGCAACACTTTGCAACTAAAAAAAAAATCAACCATAATTATTATTCAATTTTAAACAGTCACTAATTGACTGTTGTCATGTTTTATTACATTCAAAATGATTGTAACACCTTAAAGAAAAAAATAATTTATACAATTGATATTGCGCTGGGAGGTGATGTCTATTTAAATCCTCAGGTGTTGACCATTTCTGTCCCTTCCAAGTCCAATAAACCACTGGAAATTTTGAAACAAACTCGTGTCATGTTTGCTGAATTTAACTCTTCGACTGTTTGTGGGTTGTTTCCGTAGACTCTATCCCTAACAAAAGGAAGAGGTATTATAATAATTGAAAGGGCTCAAGTTAAGGGAAATGCGCAGACGATTCATTGTAAACTTTCGGCTTATAATAACGGGTTCTCTAAACCTCCCTTACGACCACACAAGAGCCACTCTTGACGTGTGGGGTGTGCCCCCACCCCCACTGGAACCAGGCCTCTACAGCATAACGCCTTCTCCCCAAACTTCTACAAGACTTTCTCAACACGATGAGATATCCATCTGATGCGACTGTCGTGGTGTTACCACTCTTATTGTCCTGAAAACATGCCTATCATGCCCCTTCAGCCGAACGTTGTTAAGGAATAAAAGGTTTGCATTTTACCCAATTTTGGTTGACCTATTTAAACTTTGATATTTCTCGAAAGTTTAAATTGATTTTCTTCATTTGTACAAACATGATGTCCTCAAGGTTGAATTGTATTTGTTCGAAGTTTTGTTCAAATTAATGCGAAGTCGTACGGGTTATTACCTTTTAGGTTTTTTTCCAATATACCCTGTACATGTAAGCACTCACCGTATCCCCTTTTCTTGCTCATTTTTTACAATTTGACTACCACCCCCCCCAACCCACCCCCATCCCCCCCCCTCGAAAAAACCCACTAGCAAAACAAAACAAACATTGAATAGAACAATTTTTTAAACTGGAGACGAGAAGACGGTTTTCCTTTTGTAAAGTGTTTTACGGCGCTCGCAACTGCATAGGTCATATGAGCGCGCGGGACACACCTAATATTTTCAGTTGGTAGGAAATTTTGAACTTTGCCCGGGTGGCGGCCGAAGCCTACTCTTATCGATTTTAG